GACCTGCCTGTAGCTATTAGGACAATTGATCGAGTATCATTGTTTAGTAAGAAAGTGAATCAGTTTTATATCAGTAAATTTAACTTAAGTAAGGATAAATTTTTATAATTTTTGATTACGTATTGTTGTTGCTATTTGTCTAAGTTAGTTTTTAATTTTTTTGTATTTTATCACAGGCAGTTTATTTAAAATAAGGAATCTAGAATTCTGTATAAACTGGCCTAATTACTCAGATATCTCTTTTTTATACTTGTATATATATTGAACTCCTTGTTTTTGTTTTTGTTTTGATTATCTGCGTAATTGAATTTGAGTAAATAAATAAATAGATACAGAGCGGTAGCTCTTGCGAACGTTTCTAGCACCTTATGTAAAGGAGCAAAGTCTGCCATTTTCCAGTTATGTGGTGGCATGCCTTATGCAAAGGACACATTAATCCGGGTAAGGAGATTTACGAGGTTTCAACTCACTCAGAATCTTGTTAATATCCTTAGGTGAACAGTTTAAACCACACCTCCTCATCTATGGGGTCCATGGGTACCCGGAAATTTGTCTTAATTCTCTTTTTCGAGATGCACTCGTCAATGAAAGTGAAAAATAGGTCAAACCACGCTCTCAAAACTTCAATTATACTATCCGCAAGAAACGCACAATGCCATGGGATGTGTTGAAACGATTCATTTAAGGGTGAACAGTCTCTTTTAGGCGGATGATTTCCGATAATGAGGATAAACGTTCTCATTAAGAGTTATTAAGTTATGATTCGGAATACTCTCTTATCGCGGTAAGATTCAATGTAAGCACAACTACAGTAAGCATGGGATAATTCTTACCTGGACAAATTCTCTTTATGTTATATTGGGACAAATAACCATATGGCCAACTAGGGAACAGGTTCAAGAACATATGCCTCCTTCCTTCAAGCAAAATTTTCCTCTAACAAGGGTGATTTTAGATTGCACAGAAATCAAAGTGCAATTATAAATATCACACCACTTATAAGGGTTTAGTGGGTATTGCACCTCATGGTCCAATCATTTTTGTTAGTTCACTATGGCAGGGTAGTATTTCAGATAAAGAAAGAACAAATCGTTGTGGAATTTTAACTTTATTAGAAAAGGATGACCAAGTTATGGTAGACAAAGGTTTTCAAATACAAGATCTGCTTGATACTAGACAAGTCAAATTGGTAATTCCTCCATTTTTGTCACGAACAAAGTCGATGCAGTTCAGTCCAGAGGAAGTAACTAAACCAAATTGCCAGGCTTGGCATACATGTGGAAAGGGGAGATTGTTGATTAAGTGCTTCGACTTTCTATCGCAGGTGCTATGAACCAGCTTTGGTCTTTATGTTGTCTTTTCACCAACTTTAGGGGACCACTTCGTAAAATTCAGTAATAAATGATAGTCATATTGTGACCACTTCATTATTCAGAGAATTAGTAGTTATTATTATTTGGCGTGATTTCAGCAAGAAACTTATAGCTCAGAGATTTACACAAGATTTATGCATTTTCTAATTTAAAAAGGGTTCCATTTCTATTACCTATAAACTTAATGTACAATAAGACAGTTCAGTTGTGGTTGTTTACTTGAGAATGAATAAATCACTTCTAAAGCTAAAAGTTGGGATAATAAATATTCAAAGTAGAACTAATCTAGTTTCTCCTTCAATTCCATGCAAAAGCTGGGGTCAAAGTCAATCTTTTCTAAATGATAGTCAGTCTTACACCATACAAAAAATTCTACCCAATCAGCATGTAAAAGTACTATCTTCGGTAATGTAATGTTAATTATCTGCGGAAATGATAGTATTTAGAACAGAATTATTTACTATAAGATTTCATTGATAGCATTAAAATATTAAATCAGTATATAAAATAAGTAATAATGATATTAAATCTGTATAAAAAATAAATAATGATAACAATAAAATGGTTTACAATGTAATATAATTAATATAAAAGTGAACATTTGTTCCCAACTATGAGACTTGAAAGGTCCTTCTTTCTGATTCGTGTTTTAAAGGCCGGTAAGGAGCTAGGGCCGTATCCTTCTTAGGCAGTTTGGACCATAAGAGTGGTCCAATGTATCTAATGGAGTGCTTGCCATATTTTACGGTATTGAACCTAGGGATGAAGAAGTCTGAATTTCGTAGGTTAAAACAAGTCGATGATACGCTGAAAAGATCGATAATATTCGAAGCTGTTAGCTTATATTTCACTATATACATGAAGATTGCAGTATTTTGCAGGCGTCTATTGTATAGACTAGTCATCCGTGCACGTG